CGATATGTATATTTTGTAAATTTCATACATGTTAAGTAGTACTATTAGGGCTTGAAAAATATTGACTGATCCATACTTACTAATAGAACCATAAATTTCTGGTGATTAGAATATGAATTTTTACATTTTAGTATTATCGTTTTTTCTCTTATTTACGTTTCTCGTGAAATGAACCAAGTGAAAAACAGTTGACTATTACTAAGTGCTGCATATTCAATAGAGTACGTACAATAGTAACAATAATGGTCATTATGTATATTGGATTGTAAAAACTAAGCTTAATAAAGTGAATTTATCATGAAATAATAAAAGCTTTTAATTTTCAGATTTGAGTTATGTCCATGTTTTTATTTTTATACATATATAGATAGATGTATTTGAAGTACTGAAAAAGAGTGTACTAAAAGTAGTTTCATGAGTAATAATATTTTCATTTAAGATATTCAGATAGTTTAAATCAAAAAGAAATTACTTTTTCTAACAACAACACATGTAATTCATATCATGTATGAATAGTAGAAAGCACTACATGTTTTCATTTAAAATAGGTTTTTCAGAAAAACAAATAAGAAGAGCATATAGTACTTGCATATGAAGAAAATATTATCTGACAAAGCCAGTAAGTAAATCTTAGTTCGAAAAAGAAAAGAAACATGTGCGAACAGTTCGAAAAGTAAAACAAAAATAAATGCAGTATAATTTACGATAAAAAATAACATAAAATATAGATATCTAACCAAGGTATAAAAAAACAAATGATTATTGTTTAATTTCATCTGATCAAGAAAAAGCATCGGTTCGTGTATTGTCTTGATGATGTTATTATTTTATTGAAATATTGAACGAATACTGATTTAATCAATAGTTGTATTGCTTGTAGATGATGTTTGAAGATTAGTTAGAGCACGTGTTGCTTGAGATAAACTAATGGATTCATTTTTTTCTTTTGACAATTTGCGTCTCTTGTTTGTTGCTGCTATATTTTTATTAAAGAAAAAGAAAGATTGCATACTTATTGTTTTTGTTAACTTACTTGGTTGTTTTTTTGTACTTGCTGAAGAAGATTTTTCTTTTAATTCTTTCAATCTACTGCTTGACGTGATTTCTTCGCCATATTTTCCTTCATTTCGTGTACGCTTATTTGTTTTCGATGATAAAGTAGGAGGAGAAACATAATTTTGAAGCAAATCATTAACTATTGTACGTACAGCAGTTGATGGACTTAAGTGAATTGATTTCGCTGGATCAGCTATTTCTCGATTAGCATCCATCTGAGCGGATTGTACAGAATGAATAGGAGCAACGAAACTTGAAACATCAACTGGCATTAAATCAGTATATGTACGATTTTCTTTATCATCTAGTAAAGTAAGTGGAATTCAGTATGTAAAATTAATTGCTTAAAAATGATCTCTCTTACCATCATTATCCATATCAAAAATCGACGTTTGTTGTATTCGGTTGCCATTGAAATGGATAGAGTCTCGACGATATGTCTTTGATAAAGTATTGGGATCAAATCCAAGACTAAAGTTTAAAAAAAAAATTTCATTAATCTACATATTTTTAGTTTACATTTGTTGCCCATCATCTTCGGTAATTGAATCAACATCATTCATAGATACTGTATTGCAGTTGTCAAATGATTGAGTTATTTGCATGAATGAAGAACTTAAGAATAAATAAATTTATTAAAAGCTCAATATTAAGAATAAATTTTGAAAATTTTTTCGTTACTTAGTGTCGATGGGTATTGAAATATTATTTAATTCATCCGTTTGTAAATCCAGATTACTAAAAGAGATCGAATTGAAACTTGTACTTGGATCAAACGATAAAAATCTGCAAGAAAAAAAAATTAATAATCAACAATAGTAATAGTTTAGTCTAGTTAAATAGTATCGCACTGTAGTAAATCATATGAATTCATGGACGACGATTGTCTAGTCGAATTTTCATTGGTTGTTTTTAACTGATTGCTGGTCCTGTAAAATAGAAAGGATAGTGTCAAGAAGATTGATCTTCAGAACTAACTCATATCTGTGTAGAAAGCCTTACGTTGTTTGATCAGATGAAGGAAATGTATTAAAATTAGTTGTAAGTGATGAATTGTTTACTGTAGTTGCTCGTGTTGAAGCCGAGTTAAGTTCATTTAAAACGTATCTGGATTGATTTCCATTATTATTGGTAAAACCTAAAGTTGTTGTTGATGTGTTTTGATCATATGAAATAAATGATGACGATTGAAAAGATGATGTTGCAACGGGACTGTCCCTAGCAATAGATGAAGACACTATTTAGAGAAGTATTAAGGAAAAATGATGTGAACTATATATTTGAAAATTAAGTTCTAAAGTAGAAGAATATTCTGTTACGAAATCGAGGATATTATATTACCTTGTAGCTTGTGGAAGTTGATTCAGTTGTTTTGCTGCCAACGGTTGTCTTGCTACTTTTTCCTTCATTGCACTTGAATCGAATGGCCACACACCTGCACGTAAAAAACCAGCGACAACTTGTTTAGGCGTCAAAGCTAATGAATAAAGTTCTTTAAATAATACAGGTAGATCGATTTTCCGAATCGTTTTACGGCCAGTACGCAGGAAATATCTTGTCACAATACGTTTCCATGATTGCTTCGCAGAACTAAAATTAAATGCATCAAATTTTCACATTAAAGATAATGTAGAAAAAAATACTGGGAAGATAGCGTCGTCAGCAAAATAGAAGAAATAAAACATTTCTGGTTACCTGAACGTGACTGTATCAAGAGGCTGAAGGGCGTGTGTACAACTCGGCGGTAGTAATAATAAAATGATTTGATTTTGTTGTGCAAGTTCAATGACTTCAATACTTATATGACAAGAATGGTTATCCATAATTAGAAGCAGTGGCTTCGATACATTTTTTGTATGTTCAATAAATGATTTAAACCATTCAATAAACAAACTTGTTGTGATCCATCCGGAATCAGATACAGCAAATGAAGAGCCACTCGGTCCACCGAAAGTCCATTGAGGATTCAATGCTTTTGCTGAATAAATGATAAATGGGGGTAATATTTCACCTGCTGCATTTCCACAAATAAGACTTGTCGTGAAATTTTTCCCACTACCACCAGATTGCTCATAAGCTTGTTTTGTTTCATGACTGACAATAACCATTTCGCCTAAATAGAAAAAGATTATACAACACTGGTTTTTGAATGTTTACATTTTCTTATCGGTGTATAGATGTTCAACTTACAAGCTGTTTCATCACTGAATCCACTTTCATCACAATTATAAATAGCATGTGGCCGTGCTATTAAATTATTTGAACGAAGTATAAGCTCGAGTTTTTCAAACCAACCGGTTCGTATATCTTCAGTAAATCCGTTTCGACGTGACGCTTCAATTTTTTTTTCTTTAATCATCTTCAGTTCACCTTTCCATCGATTTAGAAAATTTTTTAGCCATTTTCGACCAAGATCAATCGATTTTCCTAATAAGTGAATATAAAATTATTTCGAAAAAATTATTTGTCTGAAGTTGTTGGCGCGTACCTGTGATAAGTTTGACATATTCAGAAGCTAGTTTCATAACGACAGTTTTCATTAAACGTAAGCCGATAATTTCAAGATTTTTTAATAGTTCCACTAGGTACTGTTCTTGATCAATTTTGAGTACTGTTGGGCGACCACTTCCGAATGTCATTTGTGAATTAGAGTTGTGATTGCGTACTGTACTTGCAGGGACACCGTATTTCAAGGAAACTTCAGAGGATGTAGCACCATTTTTATATTCTTCCAGTGCTTTGATCAAATTTTCTTTGGAATAATTCGATTTTTTCATATTTTCATGAAACGATAAGTGTTAAAGTTGTAAATCGATGTATGAGTGGAAAAAATATTTTTGTTTTAACAAAACAAATAGTTTTAAAATAATATAACACGATTGCTCTAAATAATTGTTATTACTTGAATTTGTTGAGATTGAATTTAATTACAACAAAATGTTGACTTGTCTACCATTGGTACGATGTTTCCATCAATCATAATCCACGTTTTCCTTTGGCTTCAAGTTTGCATTTGACGCTTGCAATCGTTTTCTGAAGAATGATTTTTACTAAAGATTTCAAGCTTTCATACAGTCTACTTCAATATAGTTTTGTTACGGTTGACAGATGTCGACGGATTATTGGGAAACAGTTCATTATGATTTTTAAAAAAGATATGAGAACTAATCTTTTGAAGAAGTTGAATATTTTATCAAATCCTAAGTCAAAGTATAATTTAAATCTACAATAAATAAGCCGTATTAAAAATTTTACATGACACCCTCATAAAACAAGGTTGATATAATTACTCACATTGAGATCATTCA